CCTCCCTCCCTCCCTCCCTCCCTCTGCCTCCCTCTCCCTCTCCCTCTCTCCCTCTCTCTCTCTCATTAGCAATTTGTCTCCAGTTTGTCCTTTGGGCCTGTGCACCCACTCCAATTCCAAGAGGTTCCAGCACACAGAATCAGACCTCCCACCACAAAGTGGTTGTGCGCTGCATGTTCCAGTGCTGAAGAGAACATTCCTTGCCTTGGGGTCAGAAAAACCCCTAAGCACCACGCAGGTAGAGATTAAAAATAAAACAAAGCAAAACTGGAGCAGAGAGTAGGAGGCCCCCTAAAGACGGTGTCCTCTCCTTAGCTCTGCCCACTCCCACCTTACCCTTCCTAGATTAGTGTTCTACAATGAAGACAGTCGTCCTGGGAAGTCAGGTGACGTGGCTGGGCCTGGGAAAGAGTGAGAGGGTCCGGTGTGGCTGGAGGAGGGTGTTTTCTCTGGGCACTTGTTGCTCAGTTCTCTCCATCTCCTGAACACAAACGTATTCTTTCACACCCGCACACCAAATCCTATCCCGTCTATCGATAGTGGGTATGGACGCACCAACGGTGGGGCCTAGCTTGGGATCTGAGACTTGAGCGACTTTATTAGCTAAATGCTCTCCACCAACCCCAAACCGCCCACTTTTTGACTCGTCTTTTGATCCAGAGGCATGTCAGAAAGAAGGACAGGTGGTTTTGTGCTGGCATTGAAGAAATGACTTGGCACAAGGTGGCTAAGTGACTTGTCCTTATGCAATTGGCAGTAGACATTAATTACTAGGGGTACAAACTTCCTCTTACTCTGTGCAATCAAGACTCTCCTGAAATGGTGCTGGTGCTAAATCCAAAATTCACACATTCCTGGCTGCATTAGTTAGCTTGGCCTGGGGTTGGCCTTGTCCTACTGCAAGCCCAAAGAAAGTCATCCAGGCTGTCCAGGATCCTCAGGATGTGGTGTCTCCCTTGTGTCCAAGGTAGGTTTAAAGGCTCAGTGTTGGGGGTAGGACACAGGTCAAAGACTCCCAAGCTAACTCCAAAAGATTTCAATTATATTTTCTTTATTATAAGAGGCACAACTCACGGAACAGGAATGAGAAGTCAATCCTCAAGTGTATTAACACAGGAACCAGAGAAAGAGAGAGCGCCCCTGGGCAGGTGAGCGGTTTTCTCTGGGTACCCAAAAGGTCAAGCCCTAACCTGGTCCAACCTCTTAAAGGTCATTGGCTGATGGAAATTCCCCCATTACTTTCCCCTTTTGTCTGAATAAGACAGTTTCAAACCCAATACAAAACTGTATACACTAAGAACAGATATCAAGTATAAAATTACAACCAACATAAACAATATTAAACAAGGAACATATGATAAATGCTTTAATAAACATTCTATCCTGAGGAGTCTAAGTCTTGCATTGGAAATGGCTTGACTAAATCATAAGAGGATGGTAACTATGACTATTTAATCTTCAACCCCATTGAAGGCCTGAGAAGAGAGATAATATTACTTGACTAGGTGGGAAGTTCAATCAAGCAGCTTCCAAAATGTGCAGTATATGACAGAGATACTGGCTACCTGAGCAATCACCCAAAGTCTCATTTGCAATGTTGGAGCAACCAAGTTTGGCTAAGGCCTAACCATTTTCAGGCAGGAAAATTTTCAGAACCATCTTACCCTGTCTTGGCAGAGTTTGGCAGTCTTTTTCCTTGTATCCTGCTTATCCAGTCTGGACACCATGTACTTTGTCAGTGGTTGAGGCATGGGCAGTTCCTTGCCCAAAGGCCAGTTGTGACAAAAGAAAACAGTCTCCAAGTGGAGTGTCTTTGGTGCTCAACATTCTCTCGGGAATAGATCGGTGCTATTGGAAGCAATTATGTCTCACATCAACAGAACCCTAAGTTATTTAAATGCTATGTTCTACAGATCCTTGAAGTGGTTGAAGATTGCCTATCTCTAGAATACAATCTCTTATGTATCTAAAAAAACCTAATTAATCTGACGATATGTATAACAAACATGAATAACTATTGACCTACAATACTTAAAGACTAAGACTTCATATCAGAACATTAAATAATCTGTAAACAACTGTGCAGTAAATGAGGACAATGACCTCAAAATGTAAAAATGTATAAGTATCTTGATCAGAGGTGGGAATATATATAGTGCAATATGATAAATATATTCTAAAAACTGTATTAATATACAAAATGTCTTAAACAGAGGTAGAAACATGCATGTGTACAATCTGACAAAATAACTTTGCACAGGTGTACAAATATTATAAACAGAAATAACAAATATAATTTGAACTTGAGTCAATATACAAGAAACTATACGAATGTAAATTGTCCATAAATAGTATCTATTACTCACTATTATTATTATTATTAATGTAAGTTCACACAAAGTTACCTATTTCCTCATTCAATATTCCCTCTTTTCTTTTTCAAGGAGATCTCCAGGCCTACACAATTTTCACCCCAACCCTCTACCCTGTACAAGTAATAATCAACCCCTAAATGGTGTCCCCAAACCTGAGGACAAACTGTGGGCACCAGGTGTTGGGGGTAAGGGCACGGGTCAAAGAATCCCAAGCTAACTCCAAAAGATTCCGATTATATTTTCTTTATTATAAGGGGGCAAACTCACAAAACAGGAACGAGAAGTTCAACTTCAGGTGTGTAACACGGGAGAGAGAGAGAGAGAGAGAGAGAGAGAGAGAGAGAGAGAGAGAGAGAGAGCCCACCCTGGGCAAGCCAACAGTTTTTCTCTGGGTACCCAAAAGGTCACTCCCTAACCCGATCCAACCTCTTAAAGGCCGCTGACTGCTGGAGCTTCCCCATCAGCTCAGTATGAAGTTGCTGGCCTTGGGGCAGACTGTCTAGCATGCCATGCTGGGAGACTATAGGAAGTGTCTGTACAGGGCATCAGGAAGCCTAGATCTACAGCGCTGGCCTAATAATTAGGCCTATGCAGGTCATCCTGGTCCTGGGAGCTGCCTGGAACCTGCTGCCACTGGGGATAACTAGCACTGAGGGAAGTCTCCAGCTGTTGATGAAGGCTTCCTTGTGAACATCCCCACATTAGTTAGAAACCTATCATTGGCCAGGTACACAACATTTGTTTTCTGTGTTTAGTGCAACGTTAAGAATTACCTCCACATACCTAAACAAATTATGAAAGAGGCACTCTTTAAGAAACAAAGGGCTCACTTGCCAACTCCTCTCATTAAAATGGAACCTGAGAAAGTCCACGGGAGTAGCTCATAAATTCTAAGCCACATAAGGTGGCAAAATTCCTACAGTTAGGAATTGTAAGAAGTACAGCCAAGAATAGGAGAGGAGCCTGGTGTGGTGGCGCACACCTTTAATCCCAGCGCTCGGGAGGCAGAGGCAGGCGCATCTCTGTGAGTTCAAGAACAGCCTGGTCTACAAAGTGTAGGAAGGACTTTGAATGAAGAAGGGATTTGATGGGAATGGAGAGGAAGTAAGAGGTGGCACTAAGGGGGCTTTGATCAAAGAACGTGACACATGACACGAAACTGTGAAAGAATAAATAATCTTTAAAACACGCTCTTCAGGGCAGAATAGAAAGAATGACATGAAGGAAAGAAACATGGAAGCCCAGTTGTTAGCAAACACTTTATTTTTCAGGTATGTTTGCTTTTCTACCCACCAATAAACACAGCGTTTCCAAAAGTAACCACTGAAGTCTCTAAATGGCTGCTAGCTCTCAAGAGAGTGGGCCACGGAGAAGTTAGGGTCATTTCTTTCTTTCAAAAAATTTCTGTAAAAGAAGAAGTTTAGGTTTTCTCTCCCTCCCTCCCTCCCTTCCTCCCTCGCTCCGTTTGTGTGTGTGTGTGTGTGTGTGTGTGTGTGTGTGTGTGTGCATGTTTCAATCTGTATGTGTATCTTTTGTGTCTGCCTGCTTGTGTGTTGATCTGTGTGTCTGGATGTGCCTTATATATGTGTCTGTGTACATGGTGGGTATGTCTGTCTGTCTGTGGTTCTGTATGTGTGAATGTGTGTGTGTATGTCTCTGTGTGGGGGCTTGGTATAGGTGTGTATCTGTGTGTATGTATCGGTATGTGCATGTCTACATATGTCTGGGGTGTGTGTGGATGTTTCTAGGTCTGTGTGTGTGTGTGTATAATTAATTAAATGTCTGTCTTTATGTGTGTTCTCTATACATGCCTACAGGAGGGCTATATGGATGTGTCTATTATGTCTGTGCATGTCTGGGTGTATCTAGGTATGTCTGTGTATGTGTCTGTGTCTGTCTTTCTGTGTGTATGAGTGCTTGTCTGTGTGGGGGCCTCGTGTGGGCCTCAGATTTGGGCAAATTTGGTTTTCTGTTGAGGAATAACAGTCTAAGGCAGAGGGTGGCATCAGTGAAGCCAATACCCACCCCCACACACACACACATCTGCAACTCACCCCATTTTCTGCACAAATGTTGCCGCAATAGGTCCAGCAGCATGTGTGATTTCTGTGTATACATTTGAAAGTTCTAGAACACTTCTTGGAACAGTCATTTGCCTTTGGCTGTCCCCAGCATTCCTCCAGTAGCAGCTCTTCCTCTGAAATGGAAACAAAACGACAAGAGGTGAATAGAGCCCCAGAGGCAAGCGCGGGAAGACAAGCCCTTTCTGAGGTCAGAGGTTCCTCCCAGAGTGTCAGCCCCATATTCCTGTCAAGGTGTCTGTCTTCTGTGTTCCCCTGGTGATGTCATCACCTTGGCCCTGACCTCACAGACTCTCCACTAAATTCATTACCTCAGCTCCCACAGGACTTACTAGATCCGAATGCCCCCAGCATCCATGTACCCATCTATAAAATATAGATTGGTTCAATAAGGGATTTGAAAGTCTAAGCTGTCTACCAGCTTCATTTCTTGTCTCTGGTAGACAGAGAGAAGATGAACAAGCTTTCTGGCTTTGTTTTTGAGATGGGCTTTCATGTAGCCTAGGCTATCATTGGACTCACATAAAACTGAACTCCAAACTCCTGCTTCAGCCTCCCAATTGCTGGGACCACATCATTCAGCCATGCCTGGTTTGAACCAGGTTTCTCTAGACTCCTTCCTTGCTGATTGTTCCATGACACACACGTGGAGGTCAGAGGACAGCTTTGTGGGGTCGCTTCCCTCCTTCCGTGTTTCTGTGGGTCCCCGGGTTCAAACTCGGGTCCTCGGGCTTTCCTGACAAGCACTTTACCCAATGAACCGCTTGCTGGCCTCTCTCCAGATTCTTATCTCTCAACCCGCTTTCTCCATCCCTTCACTGATTCTCTTCTCAATGGACCCGTAGCTTCGCTCCACCAAGGACCCTGGCGCCTTCTCACATTCTAAAGGAGGTATATCCTTTAAGGTTTCCTTAACGAATATCCGTTTCGTTCTCATGACAGGAATCGGAGAACTTCTGTAGGGACGGAGGAAGGGAGCTCCGTATTGGCTCTCGAGCCTCAGAGGCACTGAGACGGTACCCTGTCTCCACTGCTCATGGTCTATGAGTGAATGCTGCTGCCTGGGAATGGTCCCAGCTGGAGAAATTCTTAGGTTCTCCAACAGCTGATCTGGAAAGGTGGAACCTGAATCAAATGCCAGACACGACACCCACTCCCTGGTCCGGGAGTGAGCCCAGCCCCTGGCCCTGGCTCACAAGGTATCCTCACTACCTACGAGCGTATGGCTTCCTTTTCCCTCCCAGCGTGGGCAGCCGCAGCAGCATGCAGAGAAACACCACAGACGGGAGCAGTGACGGCTTCATGATACTGACGGAAGTGTCTGGAGACGCTTTTTTTTTCCTTCCCAGGAGCTGCTGGAGATCAAACATATAAGTTGGGAAATAAAGGAGTGAACCAAGGGGAAGCACCTATAGGTTTTTAAATATTCAGTCTTCTAGTTAGAAGCCCTGCCCTCCACCAGACAGCGTCTGACCTCCAGCTTGGCCTCATCTTTTTCCCCTGCTGAAGAAATATGTTTCATATGTTCTTCCTTCCCTTGATTAAAAGATAATTCAAACTATCACTTGAGACTTACACAATCTAAATATGAAATCTTACAGATTTAAATGTAAAAAAAATCACAAAAAGGGAAATGAAATCTATCTACTGGTTCCACTCCACTGATGGTATGCTCTCCTCATTTTATACGGACAAATATGTATGAACTGTTTTGATAAAATTTTAATTATGTGGCGTTCTTTCTATTCCTTCTTATTTTATTTCTAATTTTTCGTTAGCCTCTCTATTTTTATTTTTAAGTGTCATATACATGTACCACATTTTCACCATTTACATTCCGCTTCCTTTCCCTCCTTCAGATCCATGCCACGCCCCCTCACCTCACTCTCTCCCAAATTCTTGGCTTCTTTTTCTTTAGTTATTATTGTTACACACATATATAAATAAATAATATATAAATATAAAACCTGCTAGGTTCATTTTGCTGTTGCTCACATGTATATGTGTTTAGGGATGACCTCTTGCGGTTGGATGACCTGCCAGGGGCTCATCCCCAGAGAAGGCCGGTCCTCCCGCTCTTACCAGCTGTTAATCGCCTGTAGCTCTTCACCTGGGGGTGGGTCTTGTGAGAGTCCCCTTTCCCACACTGGCATGCCAGCTGGGTGTTGTCACTGCGCCACTTTTGTTTAGACAACCACACTGTTGAGATTTCGTGGGCGCAGCTCTCCTGTCACGTATAGAGGACACTGTCTTAGAGCAGGCGCCCTGGTCCTCAGCTTCTACAGTTTGTTTAAATTGACCCCCAGTGCTTCTCTCTCATCTCCTCCATCTCACTCATGTTCACTCGACCGCAGAATTCTCCTTTGCATTTTTACGTCTCATGTGTTCTATTATCTTCCCACTCCCTTTCTTTAAAAACCTTTGTGGGGGCGGGCTGGGGGGAGACGAGGGAAGGGAAACTGAGGCCAAGATGTATAATAAATAAATCAATAAATAAATTTAATTTAAAAAAAAGAACCTCGCCAGGCAGTGGTGGCGCATGCCTTTAATCCCAGCACTGGGGAGGCAGAGGCAGGTGGATCTCTGGGAGTTCGAGGCCAGCCTGGTCTACAAGAGCTAGTTTCGGGAGAGGCACCAAAGCTACAGAGAAACCCTGTCTTGAAAAACCAAAAAAAAAAAAAAAAAAAAAAAAAGAAAAAAAGAACCTCTTTTCCCTGCTCAAGGCCACCCTTCTATTTTTATGACCTATCTACATTTATTCCCACATAAATAAAAATTAGAATCTGGGCCAGAGATGTGGTTCAGTAGTTAGAGGTACTTCCTGCTCTCCCAGAGGACCCGAGTTCCATTCCAGCACCTACAATAGATAGCTCACAACTACCTATCTCTCCAGCTCTAGGAGATCCAACACCGTCTTCTGGCATAGGTGGGCACCTATACCCACACTCCATATGCACAAAGACACAATGCATACACATACACATAAAATTAACTCTTTAAAACAAATTAGAAGTTGGCATTCAAATATGAGAAGGAATATGCAGTGTTTGTCTTTCTGAGTCTGGGATATATTGCTCGATATAATTTTCAGATCCACCCACTTCCTGAAATTCACAGAGTTTCATCTTTGTATGGTTGAATAAAATTCCACTGTGTAAATGCACCACCTTCTCATCATCCGTTCGTCTGTCGACTGGCATCTAGACCGAGTGTCATTTTCTTGCTGTGACGAGACACCGATGGACACGGATGTGCAGGCATCTCTGGGGTGGGTAAATGTCCAGGTGACAGAGCTGAGTGATGTAGCAGCTCTAATTTTAGTCTCTTGAGAATCGCGCTGTCGGTTCCCATAGTGGCTGCCCCAGGTTACACTCCCCCCAGCAGTGAGTGAGGTTTCCTAGTCGTTCTGACTTCTCCAAGCAGCTTTAGCTGGCTCTTCCCTATTATTATCTTAGTCATTCCCTGTAATGACTAAGGATATTGAGCACTTCAAAATACGTATTGGCTCCCACCGTTAGGAATCCCACAAGAGGACCAAGCTGCACAATTGTTACATACGTGTAGAAGGCCTAGGTCGGACCCATGTAGGTTCCCTGGTTGTCAGTTCAGACTCTGTGACTTCCCGTGAGCCCAGGTTAGTTGATTCTGTGGGTTTTCTTATGATGTCCTTGACCCCTCTGGTTCCTACGATCCTTTCTCCCTCTCACTGTCTCTGACGCTTCTACGGCCTTTTGGGACCCCATTCCTCATACTGGGTCCCCTTATTCAGCCTTAGTACAAAGGAAGGAGCTTAGTTTTACTACAAGCTGCTACGCCACATTTTGTTGATATCCATGGGAGGCCTGCCCTTTTCTGAACAGAAGTGGATTGTGAAGGGCAAGGGGGAAATGGGAGGAGAGGAGTGAGGGAAAACTGATGTAAAATAAATAAATAGGAGAAAAAAATTACTTATTGGCTGTTTATGTTTTTTTCCTCTGAGAATTACCTGCTTGGTTCATTGGCCTATTTATTGATTTTGGGTGTTTAATTTTATAGTTACTATATATTTTAGATATTAGCCCATTCTTTCATCCTATAAGCTGTCTGTTCCCCTTGCTAACTATTTTCTTTGGCTTTCAGAAGTGTTGTAACTTTGTAAAATCCCATTTATAATTCCTGGGCGATTTCCTATTGGCGTCCTAATCAGGAAGTTCTTGCTCTGTCTACATCTTGAAGAGGCGTCACTCTGCTTTCTCCTAGCAATTTCAGTAACCCAGACAATTTGTTTGTTTGTTTATTTTTTGTTTTGCAAACAAGATCTCACTATGTAGCTCTGGCTGGCCTGGAACTCACTGTGTAGAGTAGACAGGTGAGCTGCAAACATGAAATCTCAACAGTATGGTTGTCTGACAAAATTCAGGCTGGCCTTAAACCCAGAGATCTATCTGAGTAGGTCTCCTGTATGCTGGGATTAAAGGTATGCACCACCAAGTCCAGCAGCAATTTATATTTTAAATTAAGATAATTTTAATTGATTATTGGCTTGTGTATCCTCTATAGAATAAAGCTGGAGTTTTATGACTTTGTATTTTCAGGGCTGATGAAATTCCATTGTGCTCCATGTTTCCATTGTCCATTCAGCTGTGGATGGGTGTCTAGGCTGATTCTCAATTGGAGTGGGGTGGAGAGAGGCTAAGTCTTGAATCTCATTGGCCAACCAGCCTAGCCAAAGCCAAGAGTTTCAGGTTAAAAGACTGCTTCCAAATATAAATATTGAGGCTGATGGTGACTATCCACCCAACTTCAACCTCCAGCCTGGATCCATATATACCCATGTGCCCACGCATACTGACAAACATCACACACAGACACCATGTTCACACTCATACACACTCATGCACAAATGCACAAGGAGACAAAAATTCATTTTTAAAAGGAAAACTGCTGGCAATCACATGGGGAAGAGGGGCTGGGGTCCGCAAGGAGACACAGTAGATGACAACTATGCAGAAGGATGACCCACTAGGCGAGCCACTGTCTGATGGACGGTAAACTCACAAACGGTGTATGGGCCAATTGACTACAGATGCGATTGATTCTGCCTGTAATTCTCCTGTGATACCCTGATCTCTTCCCACAGCTGTTGGCAGTGTGCTCCTCGTCTACTGAGCACTGGTGATCCTGTAAATTGACAGAAGGATAACTTCCCCCTTTGCTGTGTACGCCTGATGAATAAAACAGGTCTCTACAGTTTAGCCTTTGTTCCGCTTGCTGGTGAGAGATTTAGAAGCCTGTTTTCCATCATTCGCTAGCTGGCAAGGCAATTAAGGGCAAATTAGCTAGACTGAGGGTCTCTGTGCACAGATGGCAAACTAGACTTTTCCCAGATTTACCCAAGAACAGAATTGCAGATGTCTGGTTTGTTATATCAAGGTCTTTCGGACACAGAGGAACACTTTCTCTAGCCAGGCCTGAATGATAACAGAGACCATGAATATTCCATATTAAATTCCTTAGCAAGCTTCAGTTTATGGCACAAAATTCAAGGCTCAGTTAACTGTTTATGTTAAAGTCCTAAAATTTATATGGCTAATAGGAACAACAATTAACCAAGTTCAGAGAGAAACGACTTTACATGGGAAAAGTTTCACAGCTAGCCGGGGCCACAGAAGCTGGTCTGGCTTCACAGCCTTGAATAATAAGGTTACAAGCTTCCCTCCTTGTACTCTGAGGCAACATACAGGATAAGAAAAACATCTTTATGCCTGGGACTTTTCAATGCCAGCCTTTGTCAAAGAATGCTGAAACACCTGGTGCTCTTTGCCTGCCCCCCCACCACCACCACACCCTGCCCTTGTGTTGCCATGGTAAACGGCTCTGCTCCTTATCGTTTACTCAAGGAATGCATTATGACCCTGAGAAATAGCTTGGTGACTTCTTTACTGCCTAAAGTTTCTTGTTAAATGTGCATATAAGTTGTATGAGCAGAAAATTTTCTTTGCAACAAACAACATGGCTGAAAACCACAACGGAGTAGCAGTTAAGAGCACTGCTGCTCTTCCAGAGGACCCGGGTTGGGTTCCCAGCACTCACATGGCAGCTCACAACCATTGGGGATTCCAGTTCCAGTGGACTTGGGTTCTTGTGGCTCCACAGGCTCTGCATACACATGGCACACAGACACACATGCAGGCTGAACGCTCACATGCATAAAAATAATAACTCTCAAAAAAAATAAAAGTTCAAGGTACATGACAGCACACACCTTTAATCCAAGAACTCAGTAGACAGAGGCAGGCAGGTCTCTGTGACTTTGGGGCCAACC